TCCTCTCTTACCTCACCTGTTATATTTTATCAAAATATGGTGATAATTTTTTTTAAAATGTGGGTTTGCTTCTTAATTTTGACTTTTTAATATTCCAGTGGAAAGCCGGACGCAGTGGCTCATGCCTGTAATTGCAACACTTTGGGAGGCTGAGGCAGGTGGATCACCTGAGGTCAGGAGCAGTTGGAGACCAGTCTGATCAACATGGTGAAACCCTATGTCTACTAATAATACAAAAATTAGCCAGGCATGATGACAAGTGCATGTAATTCCAGCTACTAGGGAGGTTGAGGCAGAAGAATCACTTGAACCCGGGAGGCAGAGATTGCAGTGAGCCAAGAACACACTGTTGCGCTCCAGCCTGGGTAACAAGAATAAAACTCTGTCTCAAAAAATACAGTGGAGATTGCACCTGATTGTTTATTAAGCTTTAGTGTTACCTCTGTGCTTCTACAACTCTATCTAAGGATGATCTAGGATGATCTAGGCTGCCTTGCTAGTAGAGTTCTAATTTGTGTCTGCAAGTGAATGTCAGGTACATATTTGAAAGGTAGAAAAGCAGAGAAGGCACTGGTCTCCAGTGCCAGGTGCAGAAATGCATGTGAGCGTTGGGTGGATGGTGAGGATGAAGTGGTGGCATCGATTCCTGACTTTTCCCTGGGCATCAGCCACTTGGGTTCCAACATAATTTGCAAAGTTTCTATCAGCCTTTTTGACCTTGCCTGCTCAGTCCTTCCCTTGTTGGGTCAAGCTTAATTCCCTACATGCAGCAATCCCTGCTAAAAGCATCCAGTGACTTTAGATTCATTGTCTGGATCAGTTACTGTTTTCACATTTGGTTGGCTGGTTTTGTCTTTTAAGCTGCTAAACTTTGTGGGGTTTCTTAAATTGTGGTAAAATATACATGATATAAAAATGTACTCTCTTAATCATGGGTTAGCGTACAGTTCATTCACATTTCTGTGCGATTAATCTCCAGAACTGTCTTCATCTTGCAAAACTGAAATGCTTGCATATCTGCCCTGCCCACAGCAACCACCGTTCTCCTTTCTGTCTCTATGGATTTGACCATTAGAGGTGCCTCACATAAAGGAATTATACAGTATTTGTCTTTTGTGACTGGCAGATTTCACTTAGCATGATGTTTCAACCAGTTGTATTTTGTCATATTTAATATATGGATCCTTGGCCTGAGGAATAAAGCAAGTGTTTGATTTTTGTTGACATAAAATAGATTCCTTTCCTAGGATTCTACATAGTTCTACCCATACAAAAAAATCACATGCTTTGTTTCTTACTTCTTTTGCAGTTTTCTACTACCCTGATAGATCAGGCATTCGAGTGGCTGCCGATAGCTGAGGATAATATGCCAGAGAACCTGTGCCCACTGGCAAGCCCCAGGAAACCCCCCTCTCATTGTGTTGGGTCTCTGAAATCAGACACTCTCACCCATGCTGAGTGTTATCTAGACATAATTTCTCTCTAAATTCTATTACTGGCCTTTGGCTGCAGAAAAATAAGTCAATTCACATCCATGTCAATAACTCAGTCACACTAAAATTGAATCAATGAGTATAATTAGGTCTCCGAGTATGCTGTGATTTGGCACTGATGGCACTCATAGTGAGGTGGTGAGATTAATCACTGGATGTCGTAAATGGAACGTGCTGGTTCATGAGATACCCAGCACACTTTCCCTGGCTGGGATGAGGACTGGCAGCTGTGGGTCTTCCTGGGAGGCACCGGGCCCGTATTCTCTGAGCAGAACAGTCGCACACCTGAGTGCGCAACCACGAAAATATGTGAATGTGAATGTTGGCCATCACCTGGAGATTCAGGGTCAAGGGAGTCAGTGTTCTTTTTCGGCTGCCCAGGTTTTGGGGGATACTAAATGTCTTTATGAGCCTAGGAAACCTGTGGTCCCTCAACTATCCAGATCAAAGGAGGAAAATTCGAAATGGAAATACCTCATGCAAACTCTAAAGCTCATCCATGAAAATCTAACAACTTGTTCTGCACATGAATATTCTGAGTTTGGTTTTCTGGTTTACAAACCCACAGTGCATCACAAATAGCAAGTTACAAAATGAAACAGAGCAAAGTATACATGAAGTGACAATGACCAATATGTAAACTCCAGAAAATAATGCAAAAAAAAACAGACCGGGCATGGTGGCTCATGCCTGTAATCCCAGCACTTTGGGAGGCCAAGACAGGTGCATCATGAGGTCAGGAGACTATTCTGGCTAACACAGTGAAACTCCATGTCTACTAAAAATACAAAAACTTAGCCAGGCATGGTGGCTCGTGCCTGTAGTCCCAGCTACTCGGGAGGCTGAGGCAAGGGAATTGCTTGAAATCAGGAGGTGGAGGTTGCAGTGAGCTCAGATCATACCACTGCACTGCAGCCTGGACGACAGAGTGAGAAAAGAAAGAAAGAAAAGAAAGGAAAGAAAGAAAGAGAGAGAGAGAGAGGAGGAAGAGAAAGAGGAAAGGAAAGGAAGGAGGGAGGGAGGGAGGGAGGGAAGGAGGAAGGAAGGAAGGAAAGAAGGAAGGAAGGAAGGAAGGAAGGTAGGTAGGTAGGAAAGAAAGGAGGGAGGGAGGGAAGGGAAGGAAATAATGAAGAAACAGCAGGCATGGGACCTCCAAGAACATCTCCATTTAGGCCATTAAATGTAGGAGCTAACAGCTCTACAGACTACAGCAGGTCTTACATTTATCTACAAATTTCACCACACTGCTCATAATTACAATGTTCAGATGCCCTGAGGAGACTGATAATCCTTGTAGTTTATGGAGTCATGGAATATAGGAACATGTTTAAACACAGTTCTACCTCCCTCACATATCAGCGCGGTCATATATGGTTCTTTTTTTTTTTTCTTCTTTTTTTGAGACGAAGTTTCGCTCGTTACCCAGGCTGGAGTGCAATGGCGCGATCTCGGCTCACCGCAACCTCCGCCTCCTGGGTTCAGGCAATTCTCCTGCCTCAGCCTCCCGAGTAGCTGGGATTACAGGCACGCACCACCATGCCCAGCTAATTTTTTTGTATTTTTAGTAGAGACGGGGTTTCACCATGTTGACTAGGATGGTCTCGATCTGTTGAACGCGTGATCCACCCGCCTCGGCCTCCCAAAGTGCTGGGATTACAGGCTTGAGCCACCGCGCCCGGCCTATGGTTCTTAATATGTAACAGGCATGGTTATCTAGCACTTGACTGTGCTCACTTTCAGTCAAAGAAAATGAGGCTCAGAGAAATTAACTAACTTTCTCAAATCACAGAGCCATTAAGCAATGTAGCATTGAATTCAAACCCCAGCAGCTGAGCCCCAGCCCCACTCTTAAGTACCACAACACATTGCTCACTTGTGACACTTCCAGGTAGCCAACAGCTTTACTCTACTGGAAACACATCCTACTCACATCTAGAATAAAATTATTGGAAATATGTGATATGTCTTTAAAAGGAAATTAACTAATGCAACTCTTTGGAGCCCTGGGGAGCCTGTGCTGTTCTCATTAAGCATTAAGTATTAGTTAGTTGATTTCAAAGTTTATTAAATGAGTAAGTGTGGGAAATAAATTAGGAAAGAAATGATTCAGATGAATAAAAATGACAGAAGCAAAAGTTTTAAGGTTATAATGTTCTCATGTTACAAAGCACATGTCTGTATGCTGATACGGGCCCATATATATTGAATTCCTAGGAACTGATGGTTTTGCACTCACATTACATCTCTTTGGAAAGAATATACACATATAGTTGATCAAGAAGTTTGGTAGAAGGAGAATAGACTGCGCTGCTGAGTGCAGGTGATTGGCACGTTTTGTGGTATAAAGATAACCAGCTGTGGAGTAGAGGGCTGGATTTGATTGCTGTCTCTATTATTTGTAAGCTCTTTGACCTTGTTACAAGTTAACTCCTTGTATCCTTCATTTTCTCATCTGCAAGACTGAGAAAATAGTAATGTGTGCTTGCCCAGTTATGAGGGAGGATAACATGAATTGGTCTTCATGTGTTTCGTAAGACATGGTACTAGATCAGGGGTTGGCAAGCTCTTTTCTGTAAAAGGTCAGGCTTTGAAATATTGTCTACATTCCTGGCTACTAGGACAGAATTGCAGCCACTGAGTAACTGATTTCTTTTCTTTTTATGAGAAAAGAGCCATATGAAATATAGAAATTAATGGACACAGTTGTGTTACAATGAATCTTTATTTACAAAAACAAGCAGGGGGGCAGATTTGACCTCAGGGATGTAGCTTGCTGACTGCTTCACTAGATAAATGTGGATTAATATCATCAATGGATTTTGATGAGAAGTCAGTAGCATACTACATAAATCGTATGTGATACAGTATCTTGCCTGTGAAAGGTGTTTAGTAAATGATAGTCATTATTACAAGGCAGATATTTTATGAGTAACCTAGAAAATCACATCTGGCTTTTGGATCTTCAGACCCTCTGTTCTTGCTTCTTAATTTTCATCAGGAAAGGTTAAGAGACAAGGTTAACTTAGCTAAGAAGCAACTATGGGTGGGAAGAAAGATAAGGAAAATGACAGAATTTTGTTACAGTTTCAAAATTCCTAGTTCAAAATAGAATAGGCAGAAAAGCCGATATTCTCCTGATGTGGCCTTCCCTGACCTTGCAATATTTCCCCAGAAGGCTGTAGACCCTTTCCCCTTTATATAACATTAAATATGACTACCTTATATTAGTAACAGGTGTATTAATGGGGGTGCTTAGGGCAGGCAGGAAATAGGCTGAATTACATGAATTCTTCCCTTCACAAATGGGCATCACTCCATGAAAACACAACATCATTTGTTGAATGTAAAGTAGACTAGAATTTCAGACGTGGAAACATTTGCCTTGAAGCATCAAAATAATTGAATACTGTAATGGCTCAGCACCTGGCTTAAAGTTATAATACCAGGATTTACATTATTCTTAGCCACAGGCATATTTTTTACCAGCTTTTAACAACCCACCTCCTTTTCCCCTTCCCTCCCACACAATAACTGGATGACTTGTCCAGATCTTAGGCAACAATTCTCTTAGCACATCAGCTCCTGGAAACAAATGCACTTAACCAGAAAGACGGGGACATCAACCAGCAAAGATGCATCCTTAGTTAACAGAGCTTGAAATTACTATAATCTGTAAAGTACAGTGAGGAAAAGAAGTTTCACCTGCCTGCACCGTCAGTCGTTGACTCTCCATCTGACTTGGAGGGACGCCGAGGGACCGAACTGAGCCTGAGAAGAGGACAGATTCCCCTTCAAGAACACACTGGGAACTCACGAATCTCCTTCTCCGTGTGCAGAGCGCAGAGGTAATTACATAATTATCTGTTCCATTACTTTACTCAAGAGTCACAATCTCAAATTCCATCAACCACCAGAGAAATGGCATCAGTGAATGAAGTAGGTCATTTTAGGGACTTCAATTAATGGAAAGGGTTGTGTCCCAGTAAAGAGATGAGCCTGAACTCATACAGTCAACTGTTTCTATGCTGGCATGTCCCACTGTTTATTGATTTTCCACATTTCAAGGCAGCAGGAAATGTCATTTTTAATACTTTATTTTTGGCTTTACAGAATTACTGCAAAGATAGTGCAGAATTTCCGTAAAACCAATGGGGACACCAAGTGCCCCTATTATTGACATCTTCCATTAGTATGGTATATTATTATTAATTATTATGCATTAGTATAATTATTAATTATGTTAGTATGGTATATTATTATGCATTAGTATAGCACTATGCATAAGTATAGTGTTATACATATGCATAGTATGTGTAATATACATTATTCACTACTATTAACATTAGTAATAATTATAGTCATGTATAATAATACACACTAATAATAGATATTATACATATGGACAGTATTATACATTGCTATTAGTATTAGCAATAATTACTATGGATTAGTATGGCATATTATTAGCATGGTATATTTATTATTATTAACTGAAGCCCATATTTTAGCCAAAAGTATACATGGTAAATGTTCTGGTATTTAAATATAGATCACTGTGATAGGCAGAATAATTGATTCCTCAATACAGAGGCAGAATAATCGGTCTCCAAACATTTCAAAGATGTTCTCATCTTTGGGACCTAGGAATAGGCTACCTTACATGGCAAAAGAGACTGTGAAGATGTTACTGAGATGAGGGTTAATCTAACTGAGAGACTGGGAGCTTGTCCTGGACTATCCTGGTGGATCCACTGGAATCATACATGTCATTATTTTAAGGAGGCAGGAGGGTCATAGTGAGAGGAGCTGTGATGAAGGCAGCAGGGATAGGAGTGATGTGGCCACGAGCCAAGGAACACTGGCAGCTTCTGGAAGCAGGAAATGGCTAGGAGACGGATTCTACCTGAGAGCCTCACAAGAAATAGAGCCCCAAAGAGACCTTCATTTAGCCCGGTGAGACTCGCCTTAGATCTCTGAACTGGAGGGTAATACATGTGTGCTGTTGTAAGACTATGCTAGTGGTGATTTTTTGCTGTAGCAAAAGGAGCTAATACAGGCATCCATTCAACGAGAAAGAAAACACTGTTTAATGGAAATTAAACACAGACTCATCTGCTAGGCTGCCACTGTGCACAGAGTGCATGTCTGCTGTGTGACACTAGTCTCAAAGGGGACTGAGACTGTTCCCCCTCTGCATCTCAGACCTTAAAACAGCACCTGACACAGAAAAAAGCCTCAATATATACGGATTAAAGTAATGCTTTTTAGCCCACGAAAAAATGCTCTATCAATGGTTGATGTCTTCGTACAAGGAATGACATGCATTCTTTATTCTTTGGCAAGAAGTGTAAGAAATATCAACTCTATCTCTGTTCACTTAGGGCTTCTGAAGTACTTATCCTTATTTCCAAGCAACGTTAAGTTTGTCTTTGGCTTCTTTTTCTGGAACAAAATGAGATGCATACTTAACATTTTGCAGGTGAAGTATCTTTGCAGATGGGTTGACTATGCTTTTGAAAACTGTGCAAGCAGAGAGAGCACCGTTTCAGAGTGCATTGTCTGTCTCCTCCATTTCAAGGGTCTAAGGAAAAAAAAAAACCTCATTGGCCTCGTTTGAATTCTCCTTTTAAGATTTTAACTGTGAAGCTTTTCTTTTGCCTGAGTGGGCCCCTGGGATACGTGCCTCATCAATTGAAGTCGGAACAAAGATAGTGTTAGACTAACAAGAGAATCATCAACACCCTTACTCCTTAAAACTCTGCAAAGGCCAGGGGGTTTCCACCATTGGACTTCAGTTTTCCTGTGCAAAGAGAAGACCACACACGCACACACGGCACAGAAATGGCAATCTCAGGATCAACACACGAGTTCTTTTCCAGAGAGGTTCTGAGAAGGGGCTTTTCTGCATGTCTTTCCCCCTCTTGCCCCACCTGCCCGTCCTTGTCCCTTCCCCCCGCACGAACACGTGGTAGACCTACCTATTCCACACCCCTGCCTGTTTTCCGTTTCCTCTGTGACACCTGCACGCTGGCAAGGAAGGCATAAGCCTAGGCCATCTTGCGTAATTACAGCTGGGGCATTTTCCCCCCCAAGTCTCATGTTGAAATGTGACCCCTAGTGCTGGCGGCAGGATCTGGGTTCGAATCATGGCGGCAGATCCCTCAGGAAGGGCGCCATTTTCGCGGTGATGGTGAGTTCACAGGAGAGCTGATCGTGGAGAGGAGCCCGGCCTCCTCCTCCTCCTCTCGCCCTCCCACTGCCTCGCTCCTTCTCTCCCTCACGCCCACCCTGTCTGTGTGAGGCACTGGCTCCCCTTCGCCTTCCGCCAGGATTGTAAGCGTCCTGAGGCCAGGAAGCAAAGCACCAGAAGCAAATGCCGGTACCGCGCCTTCTGTGCGGCCTGCGAAACTGTGAGGCACAGAAAGCGCTTTCGTCACAGACTGTCCAGTCTCCGATATTCCCTTTTAGGGACGCAGACACGGCTTCACACACCGTTCTGAGCGCCTTCCATGAGGTCTGCTCACAGGTGACCGACTCCCCCGCACAGCCCTGCGTTCCGCGCTGTTGCTAAGGGCGCGTCCCTCTCGCGAGATTCCTGCGGGCGCGTCCCTCTCGCGAGATTCCTGCGGGCGCGTCCCTCTCGCGAGATTCCTGCGTGGACACAGCCTGCCCCGCCCCCCGGAGTTAGCAGTCCATAGACCTTGCTCTTCCTAGATCTTCCAGCGCCAGCTCGGGTGGGGCGTGGCCAGCAAGGCTGCCAATCACAGAAACGGTTCTCTCTTCTGCCACCTTCAGGAGAATCCCGGCTCTGACGTCTGGTTCTGATGACACCCGGGCGAGGCCGCGGGCTTTCCACCCCTCCACGGCCTCCGTTCTTTTTCACCTTCATGCGAGGGAACGATCCAACCTGCCTATCCGTACTGTGAGTGTGTGAGGACTCCCCTGAAGTCCTGCAAGGTCTTGGCTGCCGGTTGGCAGGAAGTGGTGGATGTGAGTAGTGATGATTCATTCATGTTTCATCAATCAAGCCGGCTTCCACTGATGATGTGGGTGCAGGGCTGTGGCATGGCAGGCTGTGCGTTCTGCCCACGCTCAGGTCAAATTTCAGCCCTGTCTTTTGCTACCTTGGTGAGCGGGGCCGAATTACAGATCCTTTGCACTTCAATGTTCTCCCCTCTAAAATAGCGCTACAGCGGCATTGCCCTCAGAATTGCTTTGCAAGGAATTCAGTAAGTGTCTGGCATAATGTGTGCAAGACACATAATTGAGCTTAGAAAAAAATTAGTAATAATAATGCTACTACATTTATAGAAGGGCTCAGGGTGACTCCAAGCTGTGTGTTAACCACTGTAATTATTGCTAGTAATAATATTTTTAAAGATTTAATTATTCCTTTATATACACAGTAAGGCCCCCTTATTTGGGGTTTAGCTTTTACTGGACTTAGTTACCACAGTTCAAAAGTAGTAAGGTATTTTAAGAGAGAGAGAACCCACATTCATAAAACTTGTGTTACAGTATATTGTTATAATTATTCTATTTTACTATTGTTATCGTTAGTCTGTTATGGTGCTAAATTTAACATAGCGTTAGAAGCAGGTGCCAAACACTACAGGACATGCCCGAGCAGGGACTTGAACCCTGGACCCTCAGATTAAAAGTCTGATGCTCTACCAACTGAGCCATCCGGATTCCCTATGGTGCTTAATTTATACTTTTACAATTTTAATTTTTTGTAGAGATGGGGTCTCACTCTGTTGCCCAGGTTGGTCTCAAACTCCCGGCCTCAAGCAATCTTCTTGTCTCTGCCTCCCAAAGCACTGGAATTACAGACAAGAGCCACATATCCAACTTCCTAATTTATAAATTAAACTTGATCATAGTTGTAAATGCATAGGAAAAACATATATCTGTAAGGTTCATACTCTCTGCAGTTTCACCCATACACTGAGGGTCTTGAACTGTACCTTCTGCAGGTAAGGGAGCATGACTGTGTACACATGTATGTGCCTCCATGTGAATATACACATATAGGTGTGGGAGTAGGTGGGGGTGGATATAGATAGAGGGACATACAGAGACAGACATAGAGATGTATTTTTCCTCTTTAAAAACCTAGCACTTAGGAGAAAACAGAAGTAACAACCTGGAACATAGCTCTGAGGAGATTGCCCGGAACACAGCACCGAGCAACAAAGCCCTGGAAAATATTCCACAGAAGTTAAGAAACATGAAGGGTAAAACAGGCAGGCATTCCATAGGGAGAGAAGAAGAATGAAGAGGAGCAGCATTTGAGGAGCTGAATCTAAGCATCCTCTAAAATTCATTTGTTTAAATGCATCTTCAGATTCAAGAATTTACGTCAAAACCCCAAGCAGAATTTTTCTAAGCCCATGTCTAGATAGCACTTGGTGAATAAATTCAAGCAAGCTTTAAAAATATCAAATAGTGAAACTAATTTAAAATATGATACATTTAATGATTTAATTTAAAAGTATTAAAAATCAAATGATGCTAACGTTCCAAGTAGTAATAAGATATAATTATAATAATTGGGCACTGCATATTTTAAGTTTATGGTGATTAAGTACATATAACTTGAAATTATGCTACAGTGCCCTAATATTTAGATTTTAAAAATCAAGCATAGTACAAAAGTCATTTAAAGATACAACTATATATGTCCTTTTCAGGGACAGGGATGGAGTTGGAAGCCATTATCCTCAGCAAACGAATGCAGAAACAGAAAACCAAACACCCGTTTTCTCACTTACAAGTGGGAGCTGAACGATGAGGACACATGGATAAATGGGGGAACAACACACCCGGGGGCTTGTTGGAGGGGGAGCGACGGGGGAGGGAGAGCATCAGGGAGAACAGCTAACGGATGCTGGGCCTAATACCTGGGTGATGGGCTGATCTGTGCAGCAGACACCACGGCACACGTTTACCTGCGTAGCAAACCTGCACATCCTGATTTCATCCCAGGAACCTAAAATGAAAGTTGAAGAAAAAAAAATACAACGGTATAGACAGAATACAAGAAAACTAAGAGAAGAATTGTGTACAACGAATACCAGCCAGGAAAACCTGATTAAATACCAGAGAAAATAGCATTCTAGGCAAAAATGTTCTGGATACAAATAGAGTACTAAACACTGATGTGAGAAACAACCTACAAGCTTGTGAGAAGTCCAAAACTGTAAGTAACTAAGAATGTAATTTAAATATAAGTTGCTATATGTATTGTCAGATACGTTAGGTGAATTTAACAAATAATTGATAAGAGTAGAAAGGTTTATCATACCTTACCTGGAAGCTGATGTGCCAAACAATGTAAATGAGTAAGAATAAGCAATCGTTGAGCAAATTTCAACTGAAGGATTTATATAGAACCAGTTCCCTTAAATGAAAAAATACGCATTTCCTCTAAACACAAAATAGCATTTCTAATGTGATAAAAACAAAACTTTAAACAATTAATATAAAACAAAACACTGTTTTTGAGCAGTTGATTTCATTCATATAAATTCTTTTTATGTATTTATTTATCTAACTTCTATTTTAACTTCAGGAGTGCATGTGCTGGCTTATTATATAAGTGAACTTGTATCACGGGAGGTTGTTGTATAGATTATTTTATCACACAGGTATTAGGCCTAGTAGCCATTAATTGATTTCCTGATTCTCTCCCTCCTCCCATCCTTCACCCTGTGGTAGGCCAGAGAGTGTTGTTCTCCTCTCTGAAGACATTTTTTATTTGAGACAGAGTCTCATTCTGTCACCGAGGCTGGAGTGCAGTGGCACTATGTTGATTCATTGCAGCCTCAGCCACCTGGACTCAGGTGATCCTCCCACCTCAGCCTCCCAAGTGGCTGGGATTACAGGCCAATGCCATCACACCCGGCTAATTCCGTACTTTTTGTAGAGATGGGTTTTTGCTTATTGCCCAAGCTGGTCTTGAACTCCTAGGCTCAAATGATCCCCCTGCCTCAAACCTCCCAAAGTGCTGAAAACACACTTTAAAAGTAAACCAAACCTTCATAGATTTGGAATTTATATAAAACAGGAAACTTCAATACAAAGGAGAAACATGTAGAGTTGAGCCGCAATGAAAACAAGGCCCATAGATCCTGAGACAGGCACTGAAACAGCGTGTAGAGAACACATCACCTTCCATGCATTCTGAAAGTGAGAATTTAAAAACACAGAACAAAAGAGCAACCGTGAGTAGAAAAAAGAAAACAATATTGGAAATGGAGAAATTAGTTCAAAGGAAATCACAGAGCAATTGAGAGAACAAATAAAACCAACACGAAATCTTCAAAGAAACCAAGGAAAGAGTGAAACCCTTTGAATCACCGAAAGAAAATGTGTGTGTGTGTTTGTGTGTGTGCCTGTGTGCATGTGTGTGTTTAATAATAAAGGTAAAGACAAGAGAAGAGACGGCTGTAGATAAATTAGCGTCCTTGGAGAAAATCAGAGATAGTTTTCCTCCTCATTCTTGATCTTCCTTCTCAGCGTCAATAAGAATGGTGACTCACTCGCTGGGCATGTGGGAAGGAATTAAACTTCGGTTTCATTCAGCCCTTCTAAGAAACAAATAAGTAACCTTATATGACAGACAAAACTAATACAACGTGTGCCATTAGGGAATGATTGAGATCACATCTGGCATTAGGAAAGGAATTAATTGTTAGAAAAATATGCTAACACCGGCCTTTGAAAACTTATCTCTGTTGTAAGAACCTATAAAAACGAGGGTAATGTCAAAACTTCTGAGCCAGCATTAATGAATTAATGAGTTTCTTTTTTCTTTTCTTTCTTTCTTTTTTGAGACCAAGTTTTGTTCTTGTGCCAGGCTGGAGTGCAGTGGCGTGATCTCAGCTCATTGCCACCTCTGCCTTCTGGATTTAAGCAATTCTCCTGCCTCAGCCTCCAGAGTAGCTGGGACTATAGGCACCTGCCACCATGCCCAGATAATTTTGTATTTTTAGTAGGGACAGGGATTCACCATGTTAGCCAGGCTGGTCTTAAACTCCTGATCTCAGGTGATTCAGCTGCCTCAGCCTCCCCAAGTGCTGGGATTACAGGTGTGAGCCACCGCACCTGGACTGTTAACGGGTGTTACTGATGGAAAAGTTGTCTTGAAACCAAATCAGGTTGTGTGTGAACTTCCCCTTCTCGATGACCTTCCTGTGCTCACGGGAATCTGCACGTTCTCTGGTGCCCACACTCTGCCCTTTATGTATTGGTAGGAGGAGAACTCTTATGGTGGCAATAAAGATTGAGAAGAGATTAGCAAGATTTAAATGAAAAGAATTTAGTAGTAAGAATAATTTTTAAAATATCACATCTGATGTTTTTAACAATATCAAATTTGGTCAGTTCGCTGTTATGTGCAGGGGTTATACAGAATTTTGTTTTTCTAAACAAGAAAGATTTATAAGAAAATTATTAACATTTACAATGATAATATTATTATGTTAAGTGCCCGTTAGGCCAGATGTCTAAAAAACAGTCATAACTTACTCCAATCTTTACAAAATCACAGCAAGGGAAATACTGTTTTCCCATTTCACAGGTGTAGAAAGTTTGAGGCGGTCACCAGTTATAGCAGAGGCAGGATTCTCAGTCATGTCCCTCCAGAACTAGTCTGGCTCTTTAAAATTCATTGTTTTCTTTCCAATTACAGGGAAAATGTGTGTAGACTGACAGGTGACTTCTCAACCAAAATAATTAACAACATTTCAGCAAAAATTATTATTTAAGAATAGTGAAATGAGGACTTTTCAGACAAATAGAAACGGCTTGTTACCAGAAGAGCCACATTCAAGGAAATGTCAAGGGTGTTCTTCAGGAAGAATGAAATAATCCCAAATCTTGACAAAAGACACACACACACACACACCCCAAACCCCAAAACAACAAACAACAACAATAACAAAAACCTAAGAAGGAATTAAATGATCACAAAGGGTGAATATGCAGAGTGAATAATGACCACATGTAACAATAACACAAATACCAATAATCACCTGAGGAGTTTAATCCACACCCAGACAAAATTAAATGTATGCAAAATGACATTTAAATCAAAAAGCGCATAAATGAAGTTAAGCAATTCTAAGATTTTTGCTTTTTCCTGGAAAAGAAGAAAAGTCATAATTCATATAACCTTTAATTTGTCAATTATCCATATTGCAATCTTTATGGTGATTACTTAAAAATAGTAGCATTATTTACAATTTCCTAATTCATAGGGAGAATACATAAAAAAAATTTCTAATTTGAAATAAGAAAAAAAAAACAGGAAAGACAACAGAAAAGTAAAAGCAGAGTAAGTTGACAGCCCAAATATATTAGGAAATGTGTTACATATAAGGAGACTGCATCTAAATTAAAACAAAAATGAGCACCTCTTTGAATTAAAATAAAATGATATTTATAGGAGATTCACTTAAAACAGAGATAGAGAAAGATTTTAAAAATTAGACCATGCAAGCAATACCAAAGAAAGATTTTCTGTCCAGAAAAATATCTGACAAATTAGTCTTTAAGATAAAATTTACAACTAGATAAAGAGATGTCATAAAAGTTTAAAATCATTGAGAAAATAGAACGATTCTTAACGTGCTTGCATCTAAATGGTTTCACCTCAAAACGTGATTATTTTGGTGACACTGAATATATGCTTCTACATGTGTTCTGATTTTTTTTTTTTAAATCTGTATCTATTAGTCCGTTTTCACACTGCTGTAAAGATACTATCCAAGACTGGGTAATTTATAAAGGAAAGAGACTTAATTGACTCACAGTTCCACATGGCTGGGGAGGCCTCAGGAAACTTACCGTCATGGTGGAAGGCGAAGGGGAAGCAAGGACCTTCTTCACATGGCGGCAGGAGAGTAGTGTGAGTGCAGGAAAATTGCCATTTATAAAACCCTCAGATCTCCTGAGAACTCACTCACTAGCATGAGAAAGCATGGGGGAACCATGCTCATGATCCAATCACCACCTTTCTTTGACAGGTGGGGATTACAATTCCAGATGAGATTTGGTGAGAACACAGAGCCAAATCGTATCACTGTATTTCTAATTGTTTACAATAAATATATGAGGAACTGCTGTAGGATTAAGTAAGAAACTGCTCATATTTGTTGAGCGTATGATTAACCCCTAGCAAGCACTGAATACATGGTAACTGGCATCATCACACACATCACCATCATCATTAACCTTTCTGTAATCGAAACAGAACAATGGTAAATTAGGACAGGGAGGAACTGGAGTCCTGCAGAACTAACTGTTTTTACCATAATCTATTCATAAAAGCAAAGCGTGAGAGTCGTTTGTCTCACCCGGCGTTTATAAGCCATCCTCCCTGAGACATTTAGGGCTCATCAAGTCATGGAAAATGCAAAGGCATAACCACTATTTAGTATTTCCAGCGTTCTTGTCAGCCCTGTCTTGGATCCCGTTAGACTTAGCTGTATTTCCAGAACTCAAGTACCTGATCATATATTGGAGTCACGTGAGGGAGACTTGGCCTTGAGGCCTTGCGGCTTCACAGACCAGCTGGTTATTGTAACTCTCACAGGGAATTCAGTCCAGAGCCCAGAGCCTAGGTTTCCATGAGTAACTCCTGCCATCTGCTGGCCAGTGTGCTCCGGGCCTGCTCACTGTGTGCTGAGAGCCAGAGGGTGTTCACTCAGGAGAGTACCTCTGTGTTCGATTTTTTTAATATTTAGAAAACTTTATTGTAGTATTTATCTCAAAGAAAGAATTACAAAGTTCAGCTATTAAAAGGCCAGGCATTCTCTAATTTTCATGAACTATAACTAGAAATGTTAAGGAAAACAAATGCCCAAACGTGCAAATAACCATCGAGTTAAAGTGGGAAGCAAAATCTCAATTACAAGCCATTTAGGAATTGGCAAAAATGACGTCGCATATCAAATTATAGAAAGGCAACAGCACTGGAACCAGAGGCAGACTCATAAAACTGAAAGGACGATAGAGTGTGTCGCTGTTGTTTGTCTGGCTACATGGAGAAGTTCTTTGGAGGTAAGTTCTGAGATTTCGGTGCACCTGTCACCCAAGCAGTGTACACCTGCATCCAGTATGCAGTCTTGTATCCCTCACCCCACCTCCCAACCTTCCCCCGAGTCCCCAAAGTTCTTACATCAATCTTATGCCTTTGTGTCCTCATAGCTCCCACTTATAAGTGAGAACGTACGATATTTGGTTTTCCATTCCTGATTTACTTTACTTACACGTTTGAGAGAGGTCACAGCTCAATTAACCCTTCAGGCTCGTGAGTCCAGAAGCTTTTGTGCAGCCAAATGGAAAAAAAAAGGACACTTAAAAAGTGTGTGGAAGCCTTAATGGCAGGTTTGCATAAAGGGTAAGAGCCTGGATGTTTAAGATTGTCTCATAAACCTGTGCTTATCACTTAGTGGCGCCTCTGTATCCCAGCTAAATAATGCCTCTGTGCCTCAGTTTCCTTGTCTGTGAAATGGGACTGAAAATAGGACCTACATGATAAGATTATTTTGGGATGGAAGAAGGTAATACATACATATATGATATGTTAGAACAGTTCCTTGCAAAGAATAATTTCTTAATATGTGAGAGTCATTATTAAACCCAAAAATTGTCTCATACCATTTAATAAAGCTATTAACCAATCTAATTTACTGCACAATATATCGCTCACATTTATTTTAAAAATTCCTAACAAATTATGGGGGCTTTTTCCATTCCACCAGCACTGCAGGCAGCTGCAGATCTCTCTAGAAAATAGTAAATGTGCTGTATATAACAATCTATTTTATACCCTGCTTTTATTCTAAAATATGAGAAGGCCTGGGTGTAAATATGGCTGAGAAGTCTCTTATTGTTCCTATCAACGTGAAAATGAGCTTATGTAAAGCACTCTGATTGTATCTAAATCATGCCCACTCCTGGTCAGTTTCACATCGTCTCAGAGAAAGAACATTGGACCTTCTACAGTAATCACACATTAATAGGCATGCATTAGTTGTGGCACAAAGAGCTTTTTTAGTGGATTAATTGAAAGTCTCGCTGTGCAAGCTTGAGGACCTCAGCTAGTGACATTGAACATGCACTCCTACAATTAATGATGAATAATAAAAGCTAAATAGCGTAATGAATCCCACTGCCAACATTTTGCTTAGGAAAGTCACCAGCCTGAGCCATTCTCCTGTCAGAACTTGGAACCCCACAGAAGGGCTGTACAGCATGAAGACTGAGGCAGGGATCCTATAAGCAAGCCTGTGAGGTTTAAATGCTGGTTCTGCTAGTTACTAGCTGTGTGACCTGGCAGGAGTCAAGGATGCTCTCTGAGTATCAGTTTCTTCATCTGCAAAATGGGAACTGCAGAAAGAGTCTCTATGTCACTCAGTCACTGTGAGGACACAGCGAACAAGCATGTGTGTGAATGCACCCAGCATAGAGCCCGGCATGGAAAGAGTACAAAGTAAGTGTTAATTACTATTATTGACCGGGCACAGTGGCTCACGCCTGTAATCCCAGCACTTTGGGAGGCCGAGGCGGGTGGATCCCGAGGTCAACAGATTGAGACCATCCTGGTCAACATGGTGAAATCCCGTCTCTACTAAAAATAAAATAAAATAAAAATACAGAAAATTAGGTGGGCACTGTGGCGTGTGCCTGTAATCCCAGCTACTCAGGAGGCTGAGGCAGGAGAATTGCCTGAACCCAGGAGGCGGAGCTTGCGGTGAGCCGTGATCGTGCCATTGCACTTCAGCCTGGGTAACAAGAGCGAAATTCCGTCTCAAAAAATAAATAAATAATAAAAAGTAAATTACTATTATTATTATTATTAGTGTATTAGTTGGGTCCTCATGGGAAATGCGTGGTGTACTCAAAATTGAATTGAATTTAATAAAGGTAGCACTTAAATAGATTAGACATGATTAAATAAATGGGAGATGGTACTGCACCCAGGACCTAGCACCAGTGGGAAGCCATTGCACTAACTCCATTCCACTACCCCAACCAACAGAACAAGAGGAGGGGACAGCTGTCAGACCATACAGGAGCTTTGACATTAAGAAGCCCTTGGCCACACCTATAATCCCAGCACTTTGGGAGGCCAAGATCGAGACCATCTTGGTCAACATGGTGAAACCCTGTCTCTACTATAAATACAAAAATTAGCTGGGCATGGTGGCTCATGCCTATAGTCCCATCTACTCAGGAGGCTGAGGCAGGAGGATTGCCTGAACCTAGGAGGCGGAGGTTGCAGTGAGCCGAGATTGCACCATTGCACTCCACACTAGGTGACAGGAGGGAAACTCCATCTCAAAAAAAAAAGAAGGCCTTGGCATCTGAAACCTCAGAAGCTGTGGCCTTTGTAAAAGGAACACAGACAATGCCAAGTCACGTTGACCAGGGAGAGAGAGAGGGTGATAAATCTCTTGACTTCGCTCTTCTCTTGACCCTGAAAACCCAGCATCTCCAATCAGAAAATCTAACCAGAAGCCAGAGAGCAGAGGAGGCCAGGTGATGCAATATGAAGAGGTCAGCCTACAGGTTAGAGTAATGCAGGATGCACTAGGGTTAGGAATAGATCTGCAGGGGCGGGCAGGGATACTGGCAAATATCAATCCCCAACGACAGTGGTCTTGGGGCCACCTATATTATGCATGCAGTCAGTAGGAATAAACTGAGCAAATATTACCAATATAGCTGCATGCCCCATTCCCAAGAAACACCAAGGGAACAAATATAACCATGGAAGTGACTCAGTGCCTTTGAGTCTGGTCCTGGACTGCAGAAAGGAAGAGTGATAATCCTAACAAAAACAACCCGAATAGAAATAGTAACGGCAACTGGCATTTCCATAATACTTTGTAATTTTCAAGTCCCTTTCATGTGTATAACCACATTTCAGCCTTGTAAAAACTCTATTGGAAAGTAGGTATTTATTTCTGTTTAAAATGGGAAAATTGAGTATGAAATGTTTATTTGGCAGAGATCAAAATCCCTTGTACAATTCTTGCTTAAATTTCCTAGAGAATGCATGAAAAACGTTAATATTTCATCTTGGTGTTCGGGAATACAAGATGTGGAATTCACTTGTTTTACTCAAGTCATGCGTTGTGAGGCTCATGATCCGTCAAGCTCTGTTTTAAACAATGGGGATCCAGCAGCGACCAAAACGAAGTCCCGCCTGGTTTTGAGCTGCAGTTATTTTACAAGAGTCTGGAAGTCCTTCAAGAAGTTGAAAGACTTATTTATGACCTGAAAGTCCCAAAAGAAATGAAAATATATATCCACACAAAATCTTGGACATAAATATTTATAGCAGAATTATTCATGATTGCCAAAGAGTAGAAATAGCGCTGATGCCTATCAGCTGAAAGAAAAATAAAATTGCACATCCATACAGTGAAATATTACTTAGCAATGAAAAGGAATGAAGTACTAATTTATGCTACAGGAAAGAAGCATTACATTCCACACATTAAATCATTACACTAAGCGAAAGAAGCTAGTCACAAAAAACTACTTATTATATGATTCCATTTCTATGTAAGGTCCAGATTAGGCAAATCTAGAGAAAAAGTAAGTAGATTCATGGTTATTTAGGGCAGAAGCAATGAGTGAATGAGAAGATTGGGAGTGACAGTGTTAGCAGCAGGAGGCAGAGAGACAGAGGTGGGACTCCGGTACCCCCACCTCTAAGCCAAAGACAACTGAAAGCCTGAAAGACAAGCTACAGGTTAAATCCCTGGACTGAGCTGAGAACTTGTCTTCCTGTTTGACACCCTTTCCTCTGATTCCTCCCCACCCTTCACCTATTCTACATGCAGCTACCCTTGCCTAATTGGTTTTCTACATTATCATGCCAACCTTTGGATGGTGTCTTTTCTTTAACCTTTTATTGCATACTCAAACCAATCAGCACACACTTCCCATCCTGTGCCTATAAAGACCCCAGACTCATTCAGTAGAGGAGAATATGGCTGACTTCAGGGAAGGAGATGGCCTGATTTCAGGGAAGAAACAACCTGACTCTAGGAAGGATGACCTGCCCTTCCTGTGCCCTCACCAGCTCCCCTCTCCACTGAGAGCTGTTCTCATCACTCAGTAAAGTTCTTCACATTCACCATCCTTCAATTGTGCCACTTCGTTCTTCTTGGATGTTAGCTAAGAGCTTGGGACCCACTAAGTGTGGGTACCCAGAAAGGCTGTCACATGCCAGCCCTTTGACTCTGCTGGCAGTGAGCAGCCACTCCATGGATGAAGCAAGGGGCCAACTGAGCTGCTAACACGCTGCTGTCCATGGATGGCCAAACTAAAGAAGCTCTGTAACACCTTTTCTGGGGCTTCAGGGTCATGGGCACCCTCACCTGGGTGCCACCATGTTTGCCTCAAGATGGCATGCCTGCACTGGCCCCAGCCCGATGCAGAGCTTACTCCAGTGTTGGTGCCCAGAGCAGCCAGCCAGATTCCACACATGCAAGCTCACTTGCTCCTCCTGTAAGGGGCTCAGCATGGCAAACTGAGTAGATGGGGTATCCCTTTCTGGAGTCTGCCGAAGGGTGCTGAGAAAATCTTGCATCAACAGCTAAGGGATATGGGGTTTCATTTTAGGGTAATGAAAATGTTCTGAAATTGGTCATGTGACAAATGCATAACTCTGTGGATATACTAAAAGCCAATTGTACACTTTAAATGAGTGAATTGTGTGTTATATGAATTGTACCTTTTTTTTTTTTAGATGAAGTCTTGCTCTGTCACCCAGGCTGGAGTGTAGTGGCACGATCTCAGCTCATCACAACCTCTGCCTCCTGGGTTCAAGCGATTCTCCTGCCTCTCAGCCTCCCAAGTAACTGGGATTAAAGGCGTGCACCACCACACCCAGCTAATTTTTGTATTTTTAGTAGAGCCTGAATTATATCTTAATAAGGCTTTTCTTTCTAATGGTACCCCTTGAAGCCTGAGATTCTTATCTAGTGAGATACTGAAACTTTAGCCACACTTCTCTTTGTAAACCTCATATACTTTACTTGACCTAGAATATAATAATGGTGAGAAATTTTGGATGTTCATCCCCACCCAGATCTCGTGTTGAATTGTAATCCTCAATGCTGGAGGTGGGGCCTGGTGGGAGGTGTTTGGGTCATGGGTGTGGATCCTTCATGGCTTGATGCTATATTCATGATAGTGAGTTCTCAGGAGATCTGATCATTTAAAATTGTGTGGCATGTCCCCCTGCCAACTCTCTCTCTTGCTCCTGCTTTCACCATGGGGAAGCCAACTCTCACTTCGCCTTCTACCGTGATGGCAAGCGTCCTGAGGCCTCTGCAGATCCTGATGCCAGAGCTGTGCTTCCTGTACACCCTTCAAAACTGTGAGACAATTAAACCTCTTTTCCTGAATCTTGAATATTACCCAATCTTGAATATTTCTTTATAGCGATGCAAGAACAGCCTAATACAAATTGGTTTAGAAGTTTTACGTAATCAATCACCTTGGGTGTCCTGCTGAGCTTTATCTTTCTAGAAGCATTTATGAGAAAAACACACACACATACACACATGCACCCACACACACATGTTCCTAGACCTGATTCTTCCTCCAACTTTACATTAATTACAAATCAATAGAACTATGATTTGTTGAGATGATTGGGAATCTTTGCAGGAAAACAACTTACGGAGCAGTACATGTTCCTTCTGATATTCTCATCAGCTTTGTTTCCAAAGAAAAGGTGACTGTTCTTCATTTTGTTTTGTTTTATTTTATTCTTTGATACTAAAAATTAAAGTGTCTTTAACTTTTGTGCCAACGTCTTTGTAGATTGTGTCATTTGCCTTGCGTAGAGATAAAACATCCCTGTATCTCTGGCCTTGGGAAAATCTGAAAGTCCAGGGCAGCTCTCCATACGCTTTTATAGGTACATCTGCCTCTCACTGTCCCAGAAAATCATACTCAGGCTACCATGTGCCCCAATCATAGTGGTCGCATCCTAATGCCTACCAATAGCCCGATCGGATCCTCTTCCTTTGGGGGTTTGGGATAAGAAGATGAGCGCCTTCTCTCCCTTTGCAGGGAAGGGAGGTAACAGCACAGTTGATTTTTCAAAGATAACCCACCTCCAAGAATCTTTCTTCCTCACCTCTCATAGCTTCTAAAGTCCTAAAGGAAATAAAAGATTGCAATAATTGTGAAAAAGTATTGTTTCTTTTGAAAAACCCATGCATAGCAGATTCAGCTTATTATGTCATAATTTTTCATCTTTCTTGGCACCTTGTTGGAACCTGAGTTTGGCATCTGTTTCTGCATGCTGCTCTGTCTGTGCAGCTGGAAACAGGGGCAGTGCAGACTGTGGGTGGGTTTCTACGGGGTCCGTGTGAGCATAGGGTCCATAGACTGCAGAGGGACTTTGGAAAGGCAGGAAATTCTCCTTTTCAATTTCCACGAAAAGGGGACCTGTCAAATCCAGGGCAGTAATAAAATCCACCAAGTTGGAAGTTCTCCTTCAAGAGCCATGGAAATGTGGGTGAAGTATCTGTCCGATCCTCAGGACAGTCATCCTGTATGATCTCACTATGCTGGACTCACAGCCCTGTGTCCACCACCAGACAGAGAGGTCCTAAGGAGCAACAGAGTTTTTCTAGTTCTTCACATTCTGTTTCCTGCAGCCTCTATTTGGGGCCTAGCCCAGGAATAAATGCACGGTGGATGCGGAGAGTGGAATGATAGCTTTGAATGAATACATTCATCCAGAAATAAAGAAAAATATCATAATCAATGAACTGAATATTCATGCCATGATGTTATTTTCAAAACCAACAAGTTACAGACAGTAAATTCTCTTGAAAGCAGAAGATATTGAAGGAAGAAAATAAGGAAAGAAATATGTGAAAAAGAAATGAAATATATGATAGAAAAGATAATCAAATGCAAAAGATATTTTATTGCAACAACTAATGAAATTGATTTGAATCTAGAAGGCTGATGAAGAAAAATAAAAGAATGAACAAATTGCAAATATTGAGGATGAAGATACGGTGTCATTAAAGATCCTATATGCAGTTAAAACAAGAAATTTATAATATCAGCAATGCTATTTTTAAAGAAGAAAAATTCAGATAATAGGAAAATTTCTAAAATAAATAGAGATTATATAAAGAATTTGACGCAAAAAGAAGAAAACTGGAATATATGTGTGTTTAATAAATGAAGTATATCAGATACCATTTTTCTTAGAGCCTTGTCCAAGCTGGCCCTAATTTTCTAATTATCTTCTATATCATCCAGCTTTATTTTTATTGCAGTTATCACTACCCAAAATTATACCATCTTCTATATATCTATTGCCTGTCTCCTTTCACAAAAATATAACTCTTTTTAGAGTCTTGAGACATTTTTAAATATTTTATTGTTGATTTTAGGCAGTGGAGAAATCAGCTATTTATGGGCAGATAGTCTATTGTATTTTTTAAATCTCCAGACTATGTGTTTGTGTCATTATATTTATTACAAACATTTATTTTAAAATGTTTTATTTTGATCCTATTGAAAAATTAAGTAATAGTGAATGAGAGCCCTCTCTGTCTTGAGCGACTCCACAATCCTGGTGTCTAGAGTAATTCTGACCCACATCAAGTACTCAAAAATAATGTTTAAACAAAGGCACACATGAAGAAATAAATTCAGTCATATTATAAATAACTTCACCATCTGAGAAAACTTTATGGCAAGAAATCTTGTTACCATTGTACAACGGGGACCACAAATACAGAAATGAGAAAATTCCACCCAAAGAGGAGAGGTTCAGAGATTCTTTCTTCTCAGTCTCTTCCACATTTCTTGAAGTTTCCTTTCAAAATACTCTCTTGTAAATTATTGAATATGTTAGATTTTTTAATACTTCATGACATTAAATCCCTTTCTCACCAGACGACTGGCGTCTCCAAGTCTGTCTCCTCTGTCAGGTATTCCTGGCGTTCCCAGTTGAAGGGGCCTCACCAGCATCGCTCTGGCCTGTGAATCCACAGGGTCAACAGTCAGAAGGTGACAGATGGAAGATCTGGCTTCCCGAGCACTCCTGTAGGGCTGTTTTTCATAAAGTCATGGGGGAAGCGTGCTAACATTAAAACGCTTTAGTGTCTATTCTGAACTGTGGTTCTCAGAATTCGGGACCAAAGTTGGACTCTGTGGATCAAGTTATCTGCATAGAAAAGCCATCCTGGTGATCGCTGAGGAAAGAAGAGAAATTAGCAAAATACACAATCAGGTCTCAGTACCAACGATTGTATTTTCTCCCTACAAAGGCTACCTGAAAATATCCAGGGACTACGGAGGTCGTCAAGTCGACGCATCAGTGTTTACATGTAAGTCGTCCAAGATTTGTCTCACTAGTTTGTGAGTACTGTACCCCTACCCTTTTGTCTCTGTTTTGCTTTAGGAATATTTCCAATCAACCAATTTATGAAGGAGGGACCAGAGGAGAAAAAGGCCAACCCTTCGACACCACATTCCATTTCTGGCCATACTCCCAGAAATGATAATTATAAACCAAAACAGCAATCCACTCACTAACATCCACAAATAACATGAAGTTCAGGATGAAGTTTCTGAATAGTCTTCAGCCAGAGGACCCTCCAAACCACTTCATTATCATGATTAACATGAAAATCAGCTTTCAGAGAGGTCAGAAGAATGTACATATTCTTCTTGCAAATATTTAAATATTTATTGAATATTCTAATTGCATGTTCTGAAGGTTTTCTTCTGGAATACATTTAAGTATAGAGAGTTTCATGATTTAGTCATAAACACTAAAGGAACACAACTATGTCACTTGTCAAATAAATACGTAGAACAATTACCCCAGTGGTTCGCCACATCCCACATTGAGAAGCCTTCTGATTAGGAGAAAGAGAAACCAAACATTGGGATTCTGCCCTCCTTTAACTCCCCATCTCATGAACTAGATTTTGTTTTGTGAGGGCACCAAAGAACTCTCATCTCAGTCCTTCATCAAGGGCTAACCTTGTTTTAGGGACTTAGTGGAGGGGTACTAAGATTACAGACTCCGGGCCGGGCATGGTGGCTCACACCTGTAATCCCAGCACTTTGGGAGGCCTACGCAGGTAGATCATGAGGTCAGAAGTTCGAGACCAGCCTGACCAACATGGTGAAACCCCATTGCTATTAAAAGTACAAAAATTAGCCAGGCAAGGTGGTGGTCACCTGTAATCCCAGCTACTCAGGAGGCTGAGGCTGGAGAATGGCTTGAATTCAGGCGACGGAGGCTTCAGTGAGCTGAGACCGTGCCATTGTACTCCAGCCTGGTTGACAGAGTGCTGAAATTCAAACCTCAGCTCTTGTACTACTTAAGAGCTTTCTAAATTCAGCAGCTTCTGGTGGCTCATGCCTGTAATCCCAGGACTTTAGGAAGCTGAGATGGGCAAATCACTTAAGGCCAGGAGTTTGAGACCAGCCTGGCCAACATGGCAGGCTCTACTGAAAATACAGAAATGAGCCAGGCAAGGTGGTGCACATGTGTAATCCCAGCTACTTGGGTGACTGAGGCACTAGAATTGCTTGAACCTGGGAGGTGGAGGTTGCAGTAAGATGAGATAGCACCACTGCACTCCAGCCTGGGGGGCAGAGCGAGATGCTGTCTCAAAATAAGTAAATAAATAAATTCATACGCTTCACACTACCTCCTAACTATTCAACTTCCTCATCTGTTAATAGGTGTTAAACATGTTGTACAGTGTAATTAGATTACAATAAAACAATGCAGGAGGATCAGTTGCACTAAATAAAAGCTCAGTATATTTACAGACTTACTATTTTTGTTTGTCTCTGTAATTCATGAAATTAGGAGCGAGTGAGTTTTGGGCTGCGATCTGGCTGTTTGCTGTCTTACTGGGACACTCCTGAGACACTTTTAACAGCATTTTATTGCTGGTTTTAGGAAGTGAAGAAATCAGCTAATTTTTTTTTTAATGGGCAGATATTCCACAATATTTTTTAAATATCCAAACTATGTGTTTATGTTATTGTATTTGTTACAAATATTTATTTTTAAATATTTTGTTTTGATTCTTTTGAACAATTAGGTAATAGGCCAGGCACGGTGGCTCAAGCCTGTAATCCCAGCACTTTGGGAGGCCGAGGCAGGTGGATCAGGAGGTCAAGAGATTGAGACCAACCTGGTCAACATGGTGAAACCCCGTCTCTACTACAAATACAAAAAATTAGCTGGGCACAGTGGCGCATGCCTGTAATCCCAGCTACTCAGGAGGCTGAGGCAGGAGAATTGCCTGAACCCAGGAGGCGGAGGTTGTGGTGAGCCGAGATCGCGCCATTGCACTCCAGCCTGGGTAACAAGAGTGAAACTCCGTCTCAAAAAAAAAATTAGGTAATAGATGAAGATGTTTATATCCCTACAGATTTGTTGGGAATGTGAACTGAGCTTGGGGGGGTTACTGAGAGCAGCTGCTGTCACTGGTCAACAGCCACACAAGGGCTCATCTAAGCATGCCACCATGCCCACCTTGCTGCTGGCTCAAAAAGCCTGCTTCTACGAATCTGCTACTATTTATTATTTTATTGTTTTGTCACTTAAAGAATAGAAAATGTAACCAATATTTAAAAAGACCTAACTGGAATAGATTACTATGGAAGCATGTCTTTCCCTTGTGTGTCCAGAAGCACCAGTTGTGAAGTCCACAGGACACAGTCAGGGGTTAAATGAGAAAGAGACGTGCTAGATTTGGTGGTCTGACATGGAGGACTGAGCTGCCACGAAGGTGACAGTTCATTAGATGCAGCATCACTATGTTCTGAGAAAGTGATCAGATGCATCAGGCCTGTGAGAGGAGAAATCTCTGGGCAGATCCTGTTTAAGCCTGGAATAATTCATTGTCCAACCAGAAATTCCAGGTCCTGCTACCAATACAGTGCCTTCATGGATATCCAGAAGCCAAGTGGAAAGGGCTTCATTTGCATTTAAATTAAATTTGCATAAATATTTTAGCAAAAATAAATAGAGACAACCACAGTCTTGCCTACAGTTGTTCCTCTTTGGCAGGAGAGGGAATAGAAATTGCCTATGTTATTGTGAGCTCTCTCCAGGCACCCAGAGAAGGGCAATGGGACCCAGTGTCTGTATGATTTCAGACTGAACTACACTGTGAGACAGAATGAGTTACGACTTTCCTTCCTCTACTTTTTCACACCACAATGAAAGATATGAAAGATAACCTTATGCATTTTCTAGAAATTTCTCAAAATTCTAGAAATGGCCTCAGTTAGAACAGAATGAAACGTGAATTTAATTAAAGTTGAGAGATGAGGAGGTGGAGGCAGACTACGACAAGAATCAGCAATTCAGTTTGCAGTTGAAGCCACCAACTCAGTGCCTGCTCCTGGAACACCAAGCTCATTTCCTCTACCTGCTCACAAAAGGACAGCAGTGTTCTACAGTAGCAGAAAGAAAGTGAACTTCAGGTTAGGGGATGAGCATTTCAACACAATGGCAGTGGAAGTCTAGGATGGGGTCTTGCTTAGGGAGGCCCTCTCTGGAATGGCTAACCATTCCAGGGCTGCTGGGTGTGCAGAGGCAGGGCCAGAGCAGCCTCACTCGCATCTGCAGCAGCCCATTCACATGCGTTCTATGTAAATGGAGTCCCCTGGAGTTGTGCCAGGTGTGGATGAGGTCCCCATTGGAAACCAAACATGGCACAGTCTGGCAATGTTGTCTGTGAGATGGTGACAGTTAAATATCTTCTTCTTCCTTCATTCCAGCTCTGTACAATCAATACTTCTCAATTTCATACATTCTAAATACTCATTTTCCCCATAAACTGAGTCTTCAATCACTTCCTCTTTACTTGAAAAGATCCCCTCTATCAGGGAAAATGTATGTTTACCATTATTGATGAAAAAAGTCAAACTCTGTAAAACATTTGAAAAGGCAGTTCCTGGGAATATGTGCCCAAGGTTACAGCCTAAGGCATGTATCGGCAGTTCCTGGGAATATGTGCCCAAGGTTACAGCCTAAGGCATGTATCGGCAGTTCCTGGGAATATGTGCCCAAGGTTACAGCCTAAGGCATGTATCGGCAGTTGCTGGGAATATGTGCCCAAGGTTACAGCCTAAGGCATGGTATCAGCAGTTCCTGGGAATATGTGCCCAAGGTAATTGGGTTACAGCCTGGTTTTAAACATTTCAGAAAGACACGAGACGTTAGTCAATGCACGTGTGGTTTACATTGGTTTGGTCCAGAAAGGCAGGACAACCCAAAGTGGGTTGTCCTGAGGGTCGTAGGTGGATTCAAAAACTGTCTGATTGGCAGTTGGTGGAAATAGTTACTATCTAAAGACCTGGAATTAATACAAAGGGAGGTGTGATTTAAAGTAGGAGGTTGTGGAGACCAAGGTTCTTATTACATAGATGAAGTCTCATAAGCGGCCACGCTTTGGGCAATAGATGGCAAACGTTTCCTATCCAGAGGTTTAAAACGTTCCAGACTCTCTGCAAGAGACCTAGCGAAGGAAGGAAATTAGCTACAGAATGAAAATATCCCCCCCAAGAGATCGCCGTGCAGGGCCATTCTAAAATATGTGAAAGAAATACATTTTGGGGTAAAATACATTGATTTCTCTCAGAGCCTGCTAGCTGTCATGTGATATATGGAAGCCTAGTTGGAATTTGGTAACTTACTTTTACAAAGAGTTTGCTCTGTTCGTCTTGAGATCTCCACTTTAATGTTAGTGCTGGTCAATTGTACCTGAACTTCAAAGGGAGGAAGGTGTAATGAGGTATGTTCAGCTCACTGGCTCCCAGTCACCGCCTGAACTAGTTTTGCAGGTTTCTTCGGAATTCCCTTGGCCAAGAGGGATCCCTTCCGATTGGTTGAGGGGCTTACAATTTCCTGTTTGGTTTTCACCCCTCATATTTGTTCATCCTGAGGTGTATTTCTCAAATATGTCGATGCTCCTGAAAGTGAAATGACAGGAATATGGCAAACAGCTGTGTATTTGTTGAGTGGTGTTTCAGATGGCACGGATTTTTCAGATTTTCCACGTAGAGGAAATGGCCCAGCAACGTGAGTCTTCATGTTTCCAGTTTGAAATAAAGATTATGTGCCTGGCACATACTGGAAAATCAATAAAATTCTGTTGAATAAATGTTGTGGAAAGAGATTTATAAGCATTCAGAGGAAAGCTGAGTTTTCCCGAAATAATCCCTATTTTGGTTCCAAGGGATTTATACATTGAACAATATCAAATGTTCTTCTATTTTTTTTCCTTTACATCTCACACAAGTGCGCATGTGTTCGAGAATCACAGGGTCAGCCTTGGGCATGACTGACATATCAAGTAAAGAAATTCTCTGTAATGTTGAGGAGATTCAGTATAATTTGTGTGCAGATGTTCTGAAATGTCCATGAATCACTTAGCTTGTGACTGACTCTAGAAGTATTTTTACGTCTTCTGTGAAAAGTGTTGGTCACACACCTAGAATCTACTGCCTGCTCGGACCTGCGTAGCTAGGCCCTAATATCTTCCAGAGATTCCTTCCTCAGCATCACAGCCTTGGACAGGGCAGGTCTGCTTGACCCTGGAGTATTCTAGTTCCCTTGAAATCACTGGTTCGGGAATGTGCAGACCTATGACCTTACTCAGATGAACAAGATATAAGAGTAATTTTAGTAGGGGAATTCTAGTAAAAAGCTTTGCTCTTCTAAAAAGGAGATGCAGGAAGCTACCTGCTGTCTTATTTATGGGGAACTTTCTACCTCGCTTGATGGCACTTGGAATTTCAGGTGTTACCTGCATAAGGGAGAAGCCATTCTGAAGGAGGATGGCTGTGCAGAGAAGCGAATGGAGCCTAGCACAAGCTGACATTGCCCAGCTGTTGACTTTGCCAGCTCAGCACCCCCACTCCCTGCCACCAGATCGTCAGGCTGTTTGAGAGAGAGAATAAGACCCTTCTTTGCAGATGTCTGATGAGCCAGGATTTTCTGTGGTTACAGCTGAAAGCACTGAAAAGATACAGCTATTTGTAAATGGCCATGTTTTGCTTTCTTTGACATGTCTCCATTATAAAAACCTAATTGTATTCCAAAAATTGATTTTCTCATCAGAAGACCATGGACTTTTTGAGGGCAGAGATTGTGTTTTGTGATTCACTGATGCTCAGAACCAGGCACAGTGAGTCCTCATGAAGTTATTTTTTTTTTTTTAGATTTTGGGATAACTTGCAGTGTTCTTAAGGCCATCTCTTCAAGTATACTGTAGCAATTTTCTCTGCTTTGCTCTGAAGACCATAGACGTGAATAAGATTTGAATCTATTCCCAGATAGCTTTAAATATAGTAGAAGAGGCAGATGTACACACAGCAAGATATAATCCAGGAAAAATCGAAACTAGGAAGACCGTTATGATATTTCTATCAAGCAGAATTGAGTTTATCTACAAGTAACAGTGAAATTAATCAGAATGGCTTAAACATTAGAGATTGCTTTTCCTCACATGACAGCATTCCTAGAGGTTACTGGTGTTAGTACGGCAGTTCAAAGGAATCAAGAGAATGTTTTGGAATCCGTTGGCTTTTTCCTTATCATTGAGAAATGAGCGTTGTATCTCAAGCCATCACATCCCAATCAACACAGAAATATCTGGAAGAGATGATGCCAGCCATATCTCTCCTATTACCCATAAACAAAAGTTTGGCAAGGCATGCCTCACAGTAATTTATGCATGGACTTGTAATCCAACTTAGGTCAGACAGTCACTCTCATCTTTCAAGAAGACTGGGTAAAAGAAGAGTAAGTCTGTCCCTCACCTTGAGTTAGGCTCACCATTGCCCAAGCAAAGAACAGGCAATTTTAAGCTTGAGAAGTAAAGAGGACTGAGTATCACATAGACGGCTATTAGAGAAGGTCACTTATCTCATGTATGATGCTGAGCTGGAGCCTGGAAGTAGCTGAGGCTGGAGAGGAAGCTGGGACCAGACCATGAGGCCATGGCTATGCTGGGTGGCTTTGTTCTCCAAGAGCAGAGGGGAAGAACATGGCCCATGATGGCACACCCTGGGCACACTCAAAGACTGTGAGAAGGAAAGAGGAGTTAGTTTCAGTTAAACAGGATTACTTGACAAGATGTCCACACTGATAGCTAAAGTCGATTTTATATGTTTTGTCTTGGAACTTGTCTTGGACATTTAGGTATTGAAAACTCTGAGATGAATAAGACAGAGAATCGCTTCATGCTTTTATTTACCCCCAAAAAGTAAGTTGGTTCATAAAATTTCTCTCCTCTGGAGGAATAAATTATAAATTGGATTGAACTTTTCATTAGTAGCATATGATTGGGTGGCTATGTTGAGATAAAGAACTTCAACTTTAACCAGAACATTCTCTGAAATTGTCAAAATACCAATTTTAAACATAATTCAATGTTGCTAATGTTTGAAAATGCAATTTAACAAATTAATTGGGATATAATTCATAGGCCACACAACCACTTATTTAAAGGGCACTATTAAATGGTTTTATTAGGTTCACAGTTACCAGCAAAATCTGATTTCAGAACATTTTCACCCCGTAAAAAGAAACCTTGTATCCGCTGGCAGTCACTCCCATGCCTTTCCATCTCCACCTCCAGGTGCTAAGTAATGACTAATTCACATTTACCCTGGAAGACTTGCCACTGGAGCTCTTTCTCTGCCCCTTGGAGAGGGAAATCTGTTCCAAATCCTCTTGGCAGTTTAAAACATGTGGCCTGACTTTCTCAAGGACCTGGAAGCCATTCCTTTGAAATCTGGTCATCCAGGAATATGTGCTGTCCGATCTCCTTGTCTCTGTGGGAGGGAAGAAGCCTAACTTCAGTGGGAGTCTTGCTCCAAGTGTTAAAACTCCTCCCTGTAGTAAGGATACAAGACAGTTCACTTTTCCTCTGGGGAAAGCTGATTAGCCAAGACGGATGGCCTACAGTTCTCTGACCCCAGGTCTTACACACACACACACACACACACACACACTTTCTTCAGAGGAGCTATACTCAAACTGAGTTCTGGTCTGTTTACGCTATTGCAGTAGCTTTGAACCAAGCCTTCCTTACGGTTTTAACTCTGCCCAGTGCAATTTGGTTTGGATGGTTCCATGGAAGACCGTGGGCTGGAAGATACACTGGAATCAGGTTTGGAAACTGGAATGCAGGGGCGAATGAGATAGGCAAGGAGAATCTGGCCATATACAAGATGGGATGGGGAAGACGCTGGAAGGTGGAGACCCCAGGCCTCATTGCAGTGGAGTGAATGTCTCCCCAAATTATATCTAACTCCTATCCCCTGGCACCTGGGAATCTTATTTTGGAAATAGGATTTTTGCCCGTGTAATTGAGTTAAGGATCTTGAGATGATACCATCCTTGATTTAGGGTGAGCCCTAAATCCAAATATTGGTGGCTGCATAAAATAAAAGAGGGGAAGACTTGAGACACAGAGAAGGAGGCCTGTGACAGAGGCAGAGACGAGAGTGCAGCTGCCACCAGCTGAGGCAGGCATACCTGGAGGCAGCAGGTCAGGGAGGATCCTCCCCTGGAGCCTCAGAGGGGGCGTGACCCTGCCTACTCACTACTGCAAACTTCAGGCTTCCTGCACCGAGCGGGAATCAACCTCTATTGCTTCAGGCCGTTAAGTTTGTGCTGTCTGCCCAAGGAAATGAAGATACCCACTCAGAGCTTCACGGTGGTTATTCTGAAGAAATGTGCTGGGAGGTCCCTTAGATTTGCCAGAGTGACGGGGTGAGCAGTTGGACAGGAAGGATGGCTACGGAGCAGGGAGCTAAAGCTGACCCAAGTCAAAGGAGGTGACCAGGGGCATAGATGTGAACTACTGATGCCCATGATGGTAGACTGGACCGGGAACATGTGGCACATGTACACCACGGAATATTACGCAGCCATCAAAAATGATGAGGTCGTGTCCTTTCTAGGGGCATGGATGAATCTGGAGAACATCATTCTCAGCAAACTGACACAAGAACAGAAAATGAAATACCCCATATTCTCACTCATAGGCGGGTGATGAACAATGAGAACGCATGGACACAGGGAGAGGAGACTACACACTGGGGTCTATTGGGGGGAATAGGGGAGGGACAGTGGAGGGGGAGCTGGAAAGGATAGCATGGGGAGAAATGCCAGATGTCAGTGAAGGGAAGGAAGGCAGCAAATCACACTGCCATGTGTGTACCTATGCAACTATCTTGCATGTCCTGCACGTGTACCCCAAAACATAAAATGCAATAAAAAAAAGAAGTGGTGGGAAAGTTGTTTACTAAAACTAGGAGTAAGGGAGTGAAGAGGCTCGGGAAGTTAAACTTTAAAACGGAGAGCACAGAGCAGGGAGGCTAAACAGGCCGATACATTGGTTCTTTGGAGAGGATCTCAGAACTCCTTGTACTTAACAATTTACAGGCTAAAACCTTTGAAGAGGAATTTATTACATCCTACAAATTCAAGAAGATTAAAAAAAAAACAACAACAAGAAAGAAAACATGATTGTAATGATTCCTCTGAACGTCCTCCTTAGTGGAGACAGGCTTCCTGGCTGTTGTGCATTCCCTGTTCCCATTAACCTAATGAAATCTACACTTGCAAATGAAGTCCTGGGGTCCCCAATAGATGTTCAGAGTCTGGCCTCATGCTAATAAGTTATGTGCCAACCCATATCCCTAAACAGACTCATGGAAATGTGTTAAGCCATATAACAGAATAAAAATCATGTTTAACTGAAAGATGGGTCTTTTTTTTCTATAGAAGGAAATAAAGCAATTGAACATTTCTTTGCTCTTTATACTAAATTAAATGCTAACATGTATAGAGAAGAGAAAAAATGCACTCTGATGGTGAAGGGACTGAGTCAAATTCACAGCCAGGGTCCTTTTAGTGGATAAGAACTCTAAATCAAAACCCACAAAAAACATTTTTAGCAATTGGTTGGCACTTATTCTATTTGAAGATACCTCAGGCATCTGTTTCGCATTGGAATTCATTTTGTTTTTCTTTGTTTTCCTAACAAATCAGCCATTCAGTTTTGCACACCGCAGGGGCTGGTGGCATACCCATTTTATAAACCAGCGTCTACCCATTGTCTTACAAAACGCCAGATAGAGGTGCTGCATTCCACACAGTGTTAAGGCAGTGACGTCGGTGTTCCGGGAACTTCAGAATTCCTGAATGTGTTGGTGTTGATAAAAGGTGGTGAGATGAAGTAAAATGATCATAAACTTAGGGTAACATGTGTCCTAGCTCTTTGTCTGTGGTAAATCTTAGGAAAACAATACACTCTTCTTGGGCTTCATTATCTCATCTGTAAATGAAAATATTAGATAAAGCTGTACAGACAACCTATGCTTTCACTGGAATATGAGATGATTTTAGGTGTCATCACTCATGATGTTAAATAATATTATGATGAATCATTTCCCGTTAGCATCTTCTTTCATCCTTCTGGTGATACAAAAGAATCATTATTTTTGTGATAGCTTTTGATCTCCTATTTAAAAGACAGAGAACAAATCCATGTTCAGAATTTTAGAAGTATGATTATATAGGTAGCGTTCTATAAAATTGTCCATCTTTATTGTGTAAATAAAGGGTTCATTTTTAAGTAGATAAATTCAAATACAACACTGTGTCAATTAAAAGGTAAATACGGAGAAATAAAATAGGTAGAACTCAGGTGTGGTAATATATGCAGGTAAAGCATAAGTCAATGATATTCATGGGACCCTGCACACTGGTGTGTCAGGACCCTTGCCATCTTAAATTGGACCTCTCTGTCTATTGTGTATTCACCTTTCTTTCTAAATGTGCTGTAGCTTTCTCGTAAGTGGAAAAATAAATATACCTAGACACACATAAGCTGCATGGATCAATTTCTCTTGCAGGTAGACATCACCATGTGACACAGCATCAGCCAACAAGATGGAAATAAAGGTGAAGTTGTCACATGACATCTACAAGGACTAGTTAGATGAGGTGGTGACTCTGGTGGCAATTGTTCTTTTGTCTTTTTCACATTCCTTCTTGTCCTGTCTGGGATGCTGAAGTGATGGCTGGTAAACAGATGCCCTCTTGTGATGTTGAGATAAACATGAGAATAAAAGCCATGGACTACAGATGGCAGAGAAGAGAGAGAAAGCTAGGATGTTAGTGAGTATAGATGGAACTGAGTTTCTACTACACAAGTTCTACCACTGACCTTTGGACTTCATGATATGTGAGTGAGAAATAAACTCCTACTTTAGAAGAGATCTATGTTACCTGCAACTGAAAGGAATGCCTAATTGGCATATCCCATGTGCTTCAACCCTTCCTTAGTTTTGGGTGGAAGGCATACTTCGTCTTTACCCATCCTTCTGCTCACATCCATTCACTCAATCAGCCTCCCAATCAGCCTCAATCAATCTAACCCAGATTCTGGAGCAAGCCCCACAAATTATGGATTGAATGTCCACTCACTACAAGAGAGAGATTTAAAGATGTAAAGTTCTATCCAAACACATTTTAGATTTCTAGCATCTTTGAGGTGGTGGTTTGCAGTGGTTAATGGGGTTTAAATGACTTGTGATTCAAAGCTCATTCCATATTACAATGTAGCAGTGCAAAAGGAAGGATTGGTAAAAAATTATGTTACTTTACATTCTGGGATACATGTGCAGAATGTGCAGGTTTGTTACGTAAGTATACATATGCCATGGTGGTTTGCTATACCTATCAACCCATGTGACACAACATCACCATGTGACACAACATCATCTAGGTTTTAAGCCCCACATGCATCAGGTGTCTGACCTAATGCTCTCCCTCCCCTTCACCCCCGGCCCTGACAGGCCCCAGTGTGTGATGTTCTCCTCCCTGTGTCCATGTGTTCTCATTGTTCAACTCCCCCTTATGAGTGAGAACATGCAGTGTTTGATTTTCTGTTCTTAAGTTAATTTGCTGAGAATGATGGCTTCCAGCTTCATCCATGTCCCTGCAAAGGACACGAACTCATTCTTTTTCATGGTTGTGTAGTATTTCATGAGTCTGGAGATTTGGTTACAGATAGAGCTGAATGAGACTTAGCTATATCTAATGCATTTTGATAGTTATATCAATTCTTTTTTTTACTGCTTTTGTAAATGAATGTATTAAGAAGAAAAAAATTACAAATGACCCTTTCTTTACAAACTTTTAGGGTAATTAAGTTCAGCTATTAAAAAACAGATGTTTGCAACATTCATAGCAATTCTTCTCAGGAAATTAAAAATACTTAAAAACTGTAATCGTTTTGATACCATTCAGATATTATATCTTCAACTGTGAGATAATTCTCAGCGATCCATGTCAACTTTTAAAAAATGCTAAATATATCAAATCAAAATGTCTCCTCTAAAATAAATTAGCTCTAATTATTTATTTTTAAAAACTTTGTCCTTATAGGGGTAGAAATAAAGTGAAAGTTTTGACTCATTTCCTCATTAAAGTTTGGATTTTCCAGTCACCCGTACTTTGTTCTTTCTCACAAATGTTTGTGTGCCTGGAATGAGAACATTACCCCGTAGAATATTTTGTGGCGGAAATCCTTTCCATGAGAAAGCAAGCAGAATGCCAGCTTAGAATGATTATACAGGCAGTAAATTAAAATGCTAATAGGTGTTGAGGAAACAACCTGAGTTTGACAGGTTGATCTTAAGGCAATTGCGAGTGGTGAGGACTACGGCACACAAGGGAGTTTCTGTTCTGCCTCAAGTGGGGCACCTGGGACACAACTTCAGAGGCTTCTTTTTTTGTGACATCTTTCAATATGTTGGAAAAAGTGAAAAAAATCTTGTTTTTTAAACACTGTCATAACAGCAACATAAAATACACTTCCGTGACCTGTATCCTCTCTGTGTCTGTGCATGGGACTTGTTGACCTTAGTCTTTTAGGATTTTAGTGAATAATCAGAGGTGTCAGAAAAGAAAGGGTCTGGACAGGGAAAATGTGGCACAGATACACCACGGAATGCTATCAGCCATAAAAAACAATTAGTTCATGTCCTTTGTAGGGACATGGATGAACCTGGAAACCAAAATTCTTTTTTTTTTTTTTTTTTTTTTTTGAGACGGAGTTTCGCTCTTGTTACCCAGGCTGGAGTGCAATGGCGCCATCTCGGCTCACCGCAACCTCCGCCTCCTGGGTTCAGGCAATTCTCCTGCCTCAGCCTCCTGAGTAGCTGGGATTACAGGCACGCGCCACCATGCCCAGCTAATTTTTTTGTATTTTTAGTAGAGACGGGGTTTCACCATGTTGACCAGGATGGTCTCAATCTCTTGACCTCGTGATCCATCCGCCTCGGCCTCCCAAAGTGCTGGGATTACAGGCTTGAGCCACGAGCAAACTGACACAAGAACAGAAAATCAAACACCGCATGTTCTCACTCATAGATGGGTGTTGATCAATGAGAACACATGGACACAGGAAGGGGAGCATCACACACTGGCGTCTGTGAGGGGGAACTAGGGGAGGGACAGCAGGGAGTAGGGAATTGGGGAGGGATAACATGGGGAGAAATGCCAGATATAGGTGATGGTGAGGAAGACAGCAAATCACATTGCCATGTATATACCTATGCAACAATCTTGCATGTTCTTCACATGTACCCCAAAACCTAAAACACAATAATGTATATATATTATATATATAATATAGATGTATATTATATATATTATATACATATATTATATATATTATATATTATATATATTATATATGTTATATAATATATATAACAAAAATTAAAATATATATATAATATTATATATTATATAATATATATAACAAAAAATTAAAAAAAGAAAGGGCTGGATATAAGTAGAAGTTGACTCATGGTCTCAGAAGAATAAATAAGACAAAGAGATGGGATCCTGTTTTTCAATTTACCTTCCTTCTTTAAAATCAGTCTAATAGCTGGAATAGCAAATGAGTTGAATGAGTTAAAGCTAATAAAAGACAGAATGCTATTAATTAAATTTTTAATGGTTACCAGAAAATAACACAATTCTTATTTATCACCAACCTTCCCATATAAGAATATTCTTCCTAATTTTATTCCCCTTTTCCCATCAATAAACATAAATCCAGAACAATGAAAGTCAATTCCTGCCACGTGGCACTGCTACTTATGACCCATATTAAATATGCAAGTCTTCTAAAGTATTTTACTCTCTATACAAAGAAAATAACATGAGTATTTATAAGAGAGGAAAGCTCCAAATATAAATGACAAAACTCTAACTCAACCATAACAATATGTTTTTTTTCTGCCTAAGAAGTCAAGTAGGAACAGCTTCGGGAGAAGTTGATCCAGGGGCTAAATATTGTACCTAAGGTCCCAAGTTCTTTCCGTCTCTCCGAGCCTTCATTCTTGGTGATGACTTTGTCTTCGCACTGGCTGCAGATGGCTGTAGCAATCCCAAGTGTCTTATGCAGATGTAACAGCAAACACAGGAAATGACCATTTCACCCTGTGGAATCTGGACATTTCTCTCCTGGGTACCCACAAACAGAACTTCCTTGTCATTGGCCAAAATTGGGTCACATAGCCATTTCCACTCTCACTGGAAATGAGGATTGAATTAGCCCATCCCTCGAGCTGGAGTGGATTGAGATTCTCCTGGGGCACAGGCTGTATTCAGCAAGAGTAGATGCTTTAACCAAACCATGATTCAGGACAACAGTTGGTGGATAGGCACAAAGCGTGCACAGGATTATGATCACAATTCTGGGTCCTATCTTCTAGCATCCTGGTTTCCAGTTTTCATAAGCCAACCAGATTGACCGCGCCAGCTCATTCTTGTTTCTTGATTTCACTCAAAACAAGAAAATCTAGAGATTCTACTTGAAGCCAAACAATAGCAACACAAAAGAAAAGCCGTAAAAAAAAAAAAATTGTTGCGAAAATCCAAAATGCTGACACTGCCAAATGCTGGTGAGGAGGTAGAGAAACAGGAAGTCTCATTCGTTGCTGATGGGAAAATGCAAAATAGTATGTTCATCTTGGAAGACAGTTTTAGAGTCTCAAAAAACGAAACGTATGCTTACCATACAGTCTAGCATTCGTGCTCCTTAGAATTTACCCAAAGAAATTGAAAACCTATGTCCACACAAAGACCTACACATGAATGCTTATAGCAGCTTTACTCATAACTAACATAATTTGGGATGTCTTTCAGTGGGTAACAGATAAATAAACAGATCTATCTGGACAACAGGATATTATTCAGCTTTATAAAGACAGGTGCTATAAAGCTCTGAAAAGATACCACAGAACTTTAAGTGCATATCACCGAAAGAAGCCGATCACAGAAGGCTACAGCCCATATGATTCCAACTGGGTGACTTTCTAGAAAAGGCAAATTAAAAAGGTAAGTGGTTTCCAGGGACTGGGAATATGTAGAGATAAGTGTATGGAGCACAGAAGATTTTTAGAGCAGTGAAACTACTCCATGTGATGATGTAACGGAGGGTACAAATCATTATATATTTGTCAAAACCCATAGAATGCACAATACCAAGGGTTACTGATGTAAACGTGGGCTCTGAGTGATAGGGATGAATCAGTGCTGGTTTAGCAATTGTAACAAATGTACCACAATCATAACGAACACTTATAGGGGAGGTTGATGGTCAGGAGGCTGTGCATGAGTTGGCGCAGGAGGCATGAGGGGCTTTCTGTATATTCTCCTCATTTGGCTGTGAACTTAAAATGGCCCTAAAAAACAAATTTTTTGTTTTTCTTCACTCTGACTTTTTTTAACTTTTATTTTAAGTTCAGGGGTACAGGTGCAAGTTTATTAAATAGATAAACTTGTGTCACCGTATTTTGTTGTACAGATTATTTCATATAGGTATGCATATTATTTCAGATATGTTTCACGTAGGTGTAAAACCTAGCACTCATTACTTATTTTTCTTGGTCCTCTCCCTCCTCCACCCTCCACCCTCTGGTAGGACCCTGTGGCTGTTGTTTCCCTCTGTGTCCATGTGGTCTCATTATTTAGCTCCCATTTAGAAGTGAGAACATATTGTATTTGGTTTTCCGTTTCTATGTTAGTTTGCTGAAGATAATGGCCCTCCAGCTCCACCCATGTTCCTGCAGAAGGCATGATCCTGCTCCTTTTTATGGCTGCATTGCACTGCATGGTGTATGTGTACATTTTCTTTATCTAGTCTACCATTGATGGGCATCTCGGTTGACTCCTTATCCTTGCTATTGTGAGTAGTGCTGCAATGAACATTAGCATCCATGTGTCTTTAAGATTGGAATGATTTATATTCCTTTGAGTATATACCCGAGAATGGGTTTGCTGGGTAGGATGGGTGTTCTGTTTTTAGACCTTGGAGGAGTTGCCACAATGGTTGAAGTAATTTACACTCTCAACAGTGTTTAAGTGTTCTCTGTCTCTGCGGCACCTGCTATTTAAAACTCATTGTTCTTCAACCATCACATTTTATAAAGGCAAAACCTGAGTCCCCACTTAAAAGGAAAGAATGGGTCAGAGGAGACGCCAGTCTTGTTCTAAGGGCCCTGAGTACGTGGATGTCCACTGCAAACTGGAAGAAAACTGCTGGGAGGTTTCCTTCCTTCCGGGAGGTTTTCTTCCTTCCGGGAGGTTTCCTTCCTTCCGGGAGGTTTCCTTCCTTCCGCTGGGAGGAAGCGATTATAACAACGCCCTTTCAGCTACGCCTGTTACTTGTATTTCTGATCCAGATAAAAGCAAGGCATTAAAAACGGATTGGTGGGGAATTCGTGTTTTGAAACATTAACTGATTTTTCCTTGGTATTTCTTCTTACTCTTCACTCTTTTTCACACGTGTGGGGCTCAGCTCATCTAGCATCCTTGGCATTGGAGGAGAGATGGTACCAAAGAAAGCCTCCTGGGCTTTAAACTTCTGAATTCCCAAATAACTCAGAACATAGGATTTTAAAGTTGATACAGTTGAGGAAGGTTTTCTTCTCTTCAAGACCAGGCAGGATACAGAAAATAAAAAGAGAGAAGCTGAAGGAAACTGAGGCTTTTGTGGGAAGGGCTGGTTACATCTTAACCTTTGTCTTAATCTTGACTTTGGAAGTCACTGGGGGTGAGATTTCTGAATTGATGAAGAATAACGTTCAGGTGTCTAATAGCATGGGTACTTATAAAAAGTAATAAAAGTCACTGAAATGAAAAAAGAAATGTATGCTTTCTCTGTACTTGGGCTTGTAGACTGACATTTGTACCTGTACAGGACCAGAGAAATGTGAGTTGAGTCTTGGTGTGTCCCTGGCAAAGACGAAAGCAAGCATTGTCACTGTTGAAATCCTGGAAGTCCTGGACATTCTCAGATACCTCTAGACTGATTACCGTAGAGGAGAGTAAGGCAATACACAGCCTTTTCCAGCGTTTACTTTGTTAGACTACATTAGCTTTCCCGTTCGCCGTAGCCTGCTGAGTCTCATACACCAGAAGCCAGCAGTG